AAATCCCTAAACCTTTTTTCATTATCACTTCACTACCCCCATGTCCTTTACTAAATGGCCATTTTTCCAACGTATTGTTTACGCTTACATTCCAAAAAGTTTACGAACTAACATGTCCATGTTGCCAAACGCTGTGTTTTATTGGCTATTCTGAACTTCAAAAGGTTAGGTGGCTATGATCCGCAAACCCAAATTACATGTGACTTTGGATGCCTCTTTTCATGAATTAGAGCCTTATTATTCAGGGGAGTCTCTGACCATGTCCTCCAAGGGGATATTTCTATTAAAGATGAATGTTTCAACAACCAAAATGGAGAGGAGGTGAATTGTAGAACTAGAAAACATAGTCGAAAGTTTCAAAATTGTGATGGAAATGTGGTTCAAGCAAAAGTGGATCCCCCCAATTTTCTGGACATGTTGAAGCACTACCAAGGCCGCCAGTTACCCATGTCGCACCATTACCTAAAGAATTGATCGAGAGTGTTCTTCTCAGGTAATTTTCAAATCCAATGTCTAATGAGTCTAATGAAATACCTGTTTCTGCAGAAAATATAGATCCTAGATATCCACAAAGGTCAAATAGGAATTCCAAAGAAACAATATGAACCTGATCGCACAGCCAAAACTAAATACCCAATTAGTAACTATATGTCATCTCATAGGTTGTCTGAATCATATGCACTTATTATTAATCAATTATCCACTATATCTATTCCTAGTAGTGTACAGGACGCTTTGGAAGATCCCAAATGGACTAAGGTGATGACTGAAGAGATGGCAGCTCTACAAAAAAATTCCACTTGGGAACTTGTTTCACTACCCAAAGAAAAGAAGATAATTGGATGTAGATGGGTGTTCACAGTGAAACTCAAAGCAGATGGAAGTATTGACAGGTATAAAGCGAGACTAGTGGCAAAGGGATATACACAAAGGTAGGGAATATACTACCAAGACACTTTTGCACTAATAGCCAAGATAAATACCATTCGCATTATTATTTCTATAGCAGCAAATCGAGATTGGCCCTTGAAACAATTCGATGTTAAAATGCTTTTCTTAACGGAGACTTGGAAGAAGAAGTTTACTTAGAGCTACCTCCTGGTGTCAAACGTAGTTCCATGCGTGGAAATGAAGTATGTAAGCTGAAGAAGTCCTTATACGGACTAAAACAGTCACCCAGGGCGTGGTTTGGGAGGTTTTCAGTGACAATGAAGGCAACTGGTTATAAACAGAGTAATTCAGACCATACTTTGTTTATAAAACACAAAGAAGGAAAGGTAACAGTGTTGATAGTGTATGTTAATGATATGGTATTAATAGGAGATGATTTGTCTGAAATGAAGGCACTACAAGAACATTTGGCTGCTAAGTTTGAAATGAAGGATCTTGGGCAGCTTAAATATTTCTTGGGAATTGAGGTGGCAAGATGGAAACATGGAATTTTTCTTTCACAACAAAAATACGTGTTAGATCTTCTCACTGAAACTGAAATGCTTAATTGTAAACCAGCAGAAACACCTATAGAGATGAATCACAAGCTTGAGATTCTACCAAATCAAACTCCAATTGATAAAGGTCGTTAACAACGGCTAGTTGGGAGGTTAATCTACTTATCACACACAAGGCCAGACATAGCGTATGTCGTAAGTGTTGTAAGCCAATTCATGCATACGCCAAGTGAATAACATATGGATGCAGTCTATCAAATTTTGAGATATTTGAAGTATGCTCCAGGCAAAGGTTTATTGTTCTCAAAAAATGATGTCTCAAACATTGAAGGATACACGGACTCCGATTGGGCAGGTGACCAGACAACTAAAAGATCGACGTCAGGTAATTTTACATTTGTTAAAGGCAATCTTGTCACTTGGAGAAGCAAGAAGTAGAAGGTTGTGGCAAGATCAAGCGCTGAAGCTGAATTTCGAGGAATGGCCCAAGGTGTGTGCGAGATGTTATGGATCAGGAACATACTTAAAGATTTGGGGATTGATTATGCAAAACCCATGAATCTTAATTGTGATAATAAAGCAGCCATAGAGATTGCCCAGAATCCTGTACAACATGATTGCACAAAACATGTTGAAGTAGATTGTCATTTCATCAAGAAGAAGCTTGACAAGAAAACTATACAGTCTCCATTTGTCCAATCAAAAAAACAGCTGGCTGATATGCTCACAAAAGCAGTAAGCAGTATTAGCAAGGGTGTTTCATGACTTAATTGACAAGTTGGGCATGATAGATATCCATGCTTCAACATGAGGGGGAGTGTCTGCATGAGCTGTCAATTATTAAATTGATTTTGTAATTACTTCTAGGAATCTGTTAGTTGACCAATCTTGTATCTAAGTATAGAAACAATTTGTTTCCTTTTTTAGGATGTAATTATCTTCATATATTACCTCTGATTTGGAGAAGAATACACACATAATTATTCAACATTGAAACTTTTGTTTGACACCAATCGACAAGACGATCTCGAGTGAAGATGGGAAGTCTGTTTAGTTTCTCTTGCAAATCTTAAACTTGAAATGACAAAGTGTGATAGAATTAATATATGTATATCATTTTATTCTAATAAGTGGATCCAACGATATTTATAATTATATTAGGAGGATTCTAATTAGAAATTTTCATTTAACATATATATATATATATAATGAATATTATTTCTCTTATAAAGTGTGTATATAAAAAGTCTAGTATAAAAATGATTTATCATATTATAATTAGGAGAGTGAAAATGTAAAATTCATTAAACTAAGATAAATGATGTATTATTTTATTTTATTAGTTAAAAAGTTATTAAATAATAAGATTTGAAAGTAGGAACAAGATATTGACCAAATTTATTTTTATACAACGAAATTAAGTAAGAATGTCTAAATATTTTCAGCTAATTGTTCCAAAACTCACCTTTGGTTGTTTGGAATTTTGGATCTCCAGCAATGGGTTTTTTTGGCTCGGCTACAGGTTGGTACTTCTAGCCCATCGTTTTCAGTGAAAAATATATGGGCCCTCGGGGTGGGCTAGACGTTGATGCTTCTGTGTATTACAGGAGACAGGTTTGAGGTTATGATTTCATATAACCAAGGCCTCTTTTCAAACTTGCTGGCCCAATATGTACCAAAGAAAAGCCATTTTAGAGTTTAAAAAGAAACAAAATGAAGGCTGGCGATGAATATTAGCCAAATGGCATGTATTCAGCCTAGTAGCCTTTGCATATCTTTTAATTTTAGTGACGCATAAATTGTAAGTGTTCATTATTAAGATACTGATTAGACTATGATTTTAGGTTTACGTGTATCTTAATCTTCCCTTCAATCCTCAAGCTTTCAAAATGGGAGTAGAATAGAAATATCCTAAATGTAGCATGTGAAATCGTTGGACCTTCGGCGCCTTTAACAATTAGCATAGCTGTCATGACTAAAAAAGTCATGACTAGCGTAAGCTTACATCAGTAAGCACTAATCAAAGTTTAGGAAAGCTTTGCGTTATTTAGGATCTGTCACGTCGCCTCAAGACAGAAAGGATTGACTGTCATCAACCCAACAGATTCAGGTTTTGTCTATGAGTGAATGAGAATTGCACACCTGTCCAAGCCTCAGATATTCTTAGGATATTTTCTAAGTTATCAGCCAATGAGAGGCAAGAAATGATTTGCACAGCACCTACCTACTTACAGATTTGTAATCATTACCTTGAATTCAGCTACTATAAATATATTACTCCCCCTCATTTTCGGGATCTTTAATCTTTACTTTCATAAGCAATCAATAGCAAAGACAACCTAAGAAAAAGAGACTAAGTTGATATTCTCTCTGAAAACTCAGTTATTGTACATTTGCTCGCTGTTTACTATATGCAATCTCTTATAAACTCTTATATATAAAAGAAACAGTGGACGTAGGAATAGCTTTAGGCATCCGAACGACTTTAAAAATCACCTCTTTCATTTATTATTCAGTCTTTGCATTCGATAATATTGTTTAACCTTTTTTTGATTCTTGAATCAGTTAATCACGTGTAATTTCTAAGAATAACTTAACACTTTACACGTATGAGTCGTTGGTGTCAAAATCACATATTAAGATAGCTATATTCAAAAAAGACATAACAATTAGCAAGTGATATATTTTAGTATTAACACACCATACCTCCACCTTTTCACACCCAACTCTTTGTCTATCAATAAATCAAGTCAAAATTGTTGTGACATTACCAATAGCGGAATATACGCTTGTTTGAACAAGTTTTAGTCTATAACGACGAAGATCACTAGCTTCTTTTGGGGAATTTCTATTGTAAACTCTTAATTTTCCCCAGGACTAGATCTCATACCAATATGATAAAATCAAAATTGACTTCCATAGTTTCATCAGATTTAAGTCTAAATATTAAATAGTAATAATAATAAGCAAGTTTTAAAAACCGATTCTATTCGCATTAAAATAATAAATTTAATGAATACAGGAATCTTTAAAATAGTTTGAAAGATCCAATGCATTTCTGTTTATCAAAATTCTATACAAATTTATCTGATGATTGCCATTCCTGATTATCAAGAGATTTTGTGGTTACGGTTAATTGTTTTATTTTATGTCTAAATTAGTTGTTGCATGTTGATTCTGTTCTTGATCCAGATTTTAAATGTTCAAAATTCCACTTGATAAATAATTCTGGTTGTAAAGTAACTAATGTTGATTGGATCTAAGTTTCTGTAGTGCATGTACAGTCGATCCATTGGATTTGCCCCCTCTGTCAAGTTTTTTCGTTCATTGGATCGTTCACATTTTGGTGAAAAGAAAAGTAATAGAAATCCATTAAGAAAACTACCAAGAAACTTGTCACGAGGCTCACGACAGATTCCTATGCATAAAGTAATATATAGAGAGGAATAATTCCAACTGGTATAAAAAAGAAAGGCCATAAACAATAGATGTTAAAAGGAAAGCACCAATCTCCTTCAACAAAACATTTTTATTTGTAAACTTTCTCTATATTTGATAAAGATAAACAAAGAAACAGAAGAAGAGGAAAAAAAAATTTATATAGAGGGAATGAATGCTTTGACACTGCATTAATAATTCTGGAAACAATTTATGTGATAATTAATCCTGCTGATTTACAAACATTAAACGGTGTTATTTCCCTCCATGTGTTGTTAATTTGTCACTGCAAAACATTGCCCTGCTGCAGGAAACGTAAATTAGATTCCATCAAAACCCGGCATTCTTGAGCTCCTCCTCTAATGCTTCTTCAAGCCAGAACTGCGATTCTTCCATCAACTTAGGGCTTAATCTGAACATCAAGACGCAAAACTCCATTTCGTTTAAGGCACCATCACCATCAAGGTCACCTTCTTGAACCATGCTCACAAGCTCATCGTCGCTCAATCCTTGTAATCCCAGAAGAGCAGAGTTCCTCTTCAAACTCTCTATTGTGATGACCCCCTTTGCTTTATCCATCAATACCTCAAACCCATTACAAAGCTCCCTTATCAGCCCTTCACCGCCCAACTTATCTGCCATTACAGGCAACAGATCCTCAAAACCAGCCTTCTTGCTAATCCCTTCCATAACAATAATAATTGTTCTTCAACGATGTAAATATTTGAGAGAGAAATCAAATAAGCTTTAGAGATTGTATTGCAATTCAACAGCATGAAAATGTGTATGTATATAAGAGAGGAAGGTGGGGAGAGGTTCTTCTTGGAAAGAGAGAAAAGAGGCGTCACGGCTTCCTTGTGGATGACAGAAAAGGAACATGTAGTTAATAGCTGGTTGGCTTCTGCCTCTGTTGGTCTGCTGTTGCCTCTCAGTTTCTGAGAAGTTTGTCAGGGGTACTTTTAACATTTAGGTTTTTTTTTATGTTGTTCTGACTTTGGCCGGAGGATATTATGACACATTAAGGGGTATTGTTGTAAATTTGGTAGATTTTGTTCTCTTTGACTTGGCCCAAATCTTGCAGGAGGATTTGCATTTCAAGGGTAACATCGTCATCTCAACGACTTTATTAGTTTTGAACTGAATATTTTGTAAGAAATTACACGGTATAGATTTAGATTTCAAATGCCATTTTTCTTACAAAATGTATTTTAATTAAAATTTTATGATCAAGTAGTGTGTGTGGCATCTTTCTAAGAAATTTCTATTGAGATTATCCTATTGGTAACCACGTTAGTATTTATCTTATTATTTCTTCTGAATAGGATCGGAATCTAGCTACTCTTTACATCCTTTACTTATATATTATTTTGAATTTTCATTCTATAACGTGCAACTTAATTGTTAACACCAAAAACTGAAGGAAGATCTCGGAAAAGCAAATAATATTAGACGCCCTCTTAGCACTGTAGTTTGAAAATAAATAAACTACGACCACCGTACAAATTCACACTTTCCCAGAAGAAAAGGGGTTGGCAGAGTCAAAAAATGCTGATATAATATTGAATAAAATGGACAATGAACTTTATTATTACCTTTTGCAGTAAAGGCTTTGAAATGGAAGTGCATTAGTATGAACTAGGAAAACCCACAACCGATTCGCGTATTTGACGTGTATGGTAACCCCCCACCTCATAACAATCCTTACCCAAGTAACCTCGTGGACTATAAGCATAAACCACACCATACCTCCACTTTTTCCCTTTTTTTTTTTTTTTTTATCATTATTATTATTATTATTTTCTTCAAACTTTCCAACTCAAATCCTCTCGCATCCCATTTCTTTTTCACAGTAGGTCACATTAATTGTTAGTCAACTGGTATAATGGCATCCACCAAACATCCCAATTCTTCGAAATAAAAAAGAATAAGGTTATTAATTCCAAATTCTTATCCTCAATTTCACATTCTAAGAGCATCTCCAAAAGACTCTTTATATGATCCAAACTCTTTATTATAAAGAGTTTATCCATAAAAACAAGAGTCCAACAAACTCTTTATCTTTAAAATATAAATTAGAGAGTGAGTTTGACTCTCCATATTTAAAGAGTCAAATTTCACTCTCTATTATAATTTTAATTAATAAACTACAAGTTCCTATACATTTTATTTATTAATTCTCTCTCTCATTAAGTCTTTTTCTTAAAAATAAAGAGCACCTTCATTAAATTTAAAGAGTCTATTAAATTTGAATAAAAATTGTGTTCTTTAAATTTTAAAATTAATGAAGATGCTCTTTATTTATATGAAAGATGTTCTTCAAAACAAAGAGCAATAAAGATGCTCTAAATAATGTGTCATCATATCATATTATTTAATACATCATTATTTTATTTACATCTCAATGCAACATATGATGACATATCCCTTAAGATATGGAATTTGACATAAATTTTATAAGGAGTGGTATTATTGAAAATATATATATATATATATATATATATATATATATAATAATATATATATATATATATATATTATATGTTGAAAACCTAATTATAAATATAAAATTCCAAATCTAGTATCTATGAATTATTTAGCTTGCTCATATTTTTTTGTCAACTTAAGAATTTGCCCTTCTCTTATTTTTCTAACAAGTTTTTAAAATAAATGTACTTCATTTCACTGGGAAGAAGCTAATTCAAAATAATTTCTATAAAAAAAATGGAGCAAAGGTCATATGCTACCTAAATAAGTTGAGAAAACATAGCAATAATCTTTAACTCGAAAATCCATGGTTTACAGTTCACACTCACTAAGTGACCAATTTTAATTTATTTAGTGGAATTTTCAAGTATTATTTTCATAAAAAATTAAATCCTTTACAATTTATATTTTATCAATCATACATATTTTTAAATAAAATTATTATAAAAATTAATATATATCCATAAAAAATTTAACAAAAATATATTTCATGATATATATCTCTAAAATTAAGGATAAGAAAATAATTATAATATTAAAAAAAATTGAATTTATTGATTAGTATAAAAACTTCATTATTACCAAACAAATAACAGTGAGGAAGAAAATAAAAATAAAAGAACTATTGAAATGAGTAGTGCAAATTTTAAATACGGGTTAATGTCAGATTTTTTAAACACGAACAATGACATGCGATTATTTTTGGATGACATGTAAGCAAAGGGTATACAATAAGTGTAGCATAGGCATGCACGTCAAATACGTGAATTGTTTAATATTTATAATAAGTTTTTTTTTTTTTTTTTTTTAAATATGTATGATTAACAAAATATAATTTTAATTTAAGGATTATATTTTTTTATGAAAATAATTTTTTTTAATATTCCACTATTTGGAAACCATTGGGTGGTATTATAATTTAAGAATCAGGGTCAAAGTGTTACTCTAAACTATAATGGAAAAATTGCACGTATAAACTTCATAAAAATGACCCACAAACCCTCCTGATGAATGTGTACAAATTGATGCAGAGAAAATAAAAATCCATCTTATAAATTCACATTTCCAAGAGAAAAGCGATTTGCATGGTAAAAAAATGCTGTATAATATAGAGTGAATCAACGTTTGGAGTAAAAGGGTAAAAGGCTTTGCAATGGAATTGTACGAGTCTGAACTACGACCCCCACAGCCAATTCGCGTATTTGACGTGTATGGCTATGCTAATCCCTCATCCACCACTAGGCGGAGTTGACCCAAGCACTTCGTGCACTGCAGGGTGTAACAATTTCCCCCTTGTGGTTTGAGAAAAATAACAAACATACTCAAAATTAGTTTATGGCTTATTAATAATAATTAGTTTTAACCAAATTTCCCCCTTTTGTCCAATTTGGAATGCTGTAATTTTCAAGTTAACCGTTTATGGCTTATTGATAATAATTAGTTTTAACCAAATTTATTGCATTTTATAAACTTCACTTGTAAAATTGTTTTGCTCTTTAAATGTTATGAGTTATGTATGCCTGGTAAATTTTATTACATTGTTACAAATATGATAACTAAAATTAACATATTTTAACTTATAAAATAGTTTTTTAATAAATAACAATAAATATTTATTATCCTTAATCTGATTAAATAAATATTAATATCCATGAATTTTACAATTTTTATGATATTTGTTCAACAACTTTACTAACTGAGTTTTACCCTAAGTCCGTATCTATGGCTCCGTTTGGTTCACAATTTTGTGTTTTTGGGAAAAGTTTTTTGAAAAAAGTTGAAAAAAAAGTTGAATTAAGCGGGTATTACGATGTAGGATTTACAAATTGATAAAATACCCCATATGTTTGTTTTTTTACAAAACACTCCTTATAATAAAACATTAAAAGTTAACAAAAATACCCCCAATCCACCCTCAAATACGGACAGCCGGCCACCACCACCGGAGGGTGGCCGGAGTCACCGTAACAAAAATATTAAAAATATTTAGGGGTATTTAATTGAATTAACAAATTCAGGGGGTTTAAAAAATATTGAATAAAGTTGAATAATATTGTGAGTTTTTGGGTATTTTACTGTTTAACTTTTTTGGGAATACTAAAAGTAGTATTCCCAAAATCCAACCAAACGAAGCCTATATAATTCATATCCAAAATATTATTCATGCGACGCAAAAGTTGAAAAGAATTTGTCTTTCTCTTAAATTTGTTCTACCAGTTTTAAGTTTTTATTAGATTTTTAGTTGAAATAATATTTAGTCATTAGATGGCTTTCTCATAAATTAAATGTCTTCATTTTTTTTTTTTTTTTTTTTTTTTTTTTTTTTTTTTTTTTTTTTGCGTACATTAAGTTTGTAACGTAATATTACCCAAAAATAACCAAAAAGTGAAAACTATTAGGGTGTGTTTGGTTGGAGGTAATGGACGACTACTAAGGTAATGTTATTTTATATTACTTTATTACCACATTTGGTTATCAAATAATATCAGATTCCGATAATTTTAGTAATATAGGAGGTAATCTGATTACTTCCATTTTCTTAGGTATTTTAAAATTACTTAGACCCTTTTTGGGTAAGCTTATGAAAATTAGCTTATAAGCAACTAGTGCTTATAAGCTAATTTGAGTTTATAAGCATTTGAAATTTAAGTAGTTACGTCTTTGGTAAAATGTGGCTTATAAATACATTTTATTATTAAAATGACTAAAATGGGTACACATTATTTTATCAAATAATAAATTATATTAACTCAATTTTTTACTATAATATTATCAAAATATATTTCGATCATATTACAATATAATTTAATTTTAGAATTAAATAAACAAATACTTTATATACAAATGTTTTATTAAAAATTTATATGAATAGTTTTTAGATTCTTTATACAAAATAAATTTATGAACAAATTGTGTGGGCAAAAAATCGTCTTGGGCCTTCTCAGGCCCAAACAAGTGACTTCTGTTGTGTAGGCCCAATTCTGGTCGAGCCCACGTTAAGACTCACGTCATGGGCCAGATCCATGGCATAAGCCCATCTTCTCTTTATATTGGGCATCACCATTAGCCTACTTAGGGCTAGGCCCACTGGTCCATGATAACTTCTAAGGGGTCAGAATCTCACTAAAAGCCCTAATACACCTAATTCCTATTTGGGTTTTGTCCTAATTCACTCAAGATCTTGTATCTTACTCGAATTAGGATGCTCAATCCTACTAAGGCTAGTAAATTAAGGTTTTTCCTATTTACTAGTACTTTGCCATTACGGATTCAAAGTCCTATTAGGATTCGAAGATCCTATGACCACTATATAAAGAGAGGTCCTCCCTCTCATTAGGCATTCAATCTCAATACCACCTACTTGCTCCTAAGCTCTTGCTCC